CTCCTGCTGATGTTCAGGTATATATCAGTATGTAGTGTCTCTACTTTAAAGAGTCCTCTCCTGCTGATGTTCAGGTGTATATCAGTATGTAGTATCTCTACTTTAAAGAGTCCTATCCTGCTGATGTTCAGGTGTATATCAGTATGTAGTGTCTCTACTTTAAAGAGTCCTCTCCTGCTGATGTTCAGGTGTATATCAGTATGTAGTGTCTCTACTTTAAAGAGTCCTCTCCTGCTGATGTTCAGGTGTATATCAGTATGTAGTGTCTCTACTTTAAAGAGTCCTCTCCTGCTGATGTTCAGGTGTATATCAGTATGTAGTGTCTCTACATGTCTCCATGCTTAATGTTCAAAAAGCTCTTTATTGTTTTCATACTGCCTGTGCTGCAGCACCTCTTTTCACCCTCTGTCTGAAACCAGAGCCCAGTCTGCTCTGATTGGTTAGCTGGCCGGCTCTGTTGTGATTGGTCAACCGCTTAGAGATGTCCAAATCTGAGGCCATGGTTCTCAGCAGGAAACCGATGGACTGTCCACTTCAAGTAGGGAATGAGTCCTTACCCCAAGTGAAGGAGTTCAAGTATCTCGGGGTCTTGTTCTCGAGTGAGGGAACAATGGAGCGTGAGATGGGCCGGAGAATCGGAGCAGGGGGAGCGGTACTGCAGTCGCTTTACCGCACCGTTGTGACGAAAAGGGAGCTGAGCCAGAAGGCAAAGCTCTCTGTCTACCGGGCCATTTTCGTTCCTACCCTCACCTATGGTCATGAAGGATGGGTCATGACCGAAAGAACGAGATCGCGGATACAAGCGGCCGAGATGGGTTTTCTCCGCAGGGTGGCTGGTGTCTCCCTTAGGGATAAGGTGAGAAGTTCGGTCATCAGGGAGGGACTCGGAGTTGAGCCGCTCCTCCTTCGCGTCGAAAGGAGCCAGTTGAGGTGGTTCGGGCACCTAGTTAGGTGCCACCTGGGCGCCTCCCTAGGGAGGTGTTCCAGGCACGTCCAGCTGGGAAGAGACCAAGGGGTAGACCTAGGACCAGGTGGAGGGATTATATCTCTTCTCTGGCCTGGGAGCGCCTTGGGATCCCCCAGTCAGAGCTGGTTGATGTCGCCAGGGAAAAGAAAGTTTGGGGCTCTCTGCTGGAACTGCTACCCCCGCGACCCGACCACGGATAAGCGGGAGAAGATGGACGGATGGATGGCTTAGAGATGTCCCGCCCCTTATCCTGTACAATGTGTTGGAGCGCTAGCCAATAGCATTTACTTACTTTAAAAACAGTTTTCTTACTGTAGCATCCCTCCTGTAAAATGTAAGAGGCTGGAAATGAAAAACCTCTCGAACAAATAAAGTCTCCTCCTATCAGGAAACCGTTCCTCCTGATTGGTTCCTTCCCTCCAAAAGCAATAAAGGATGAATTGAAAAGACGACAGTATTGTTTTCATCGTGTCGGGACAGAGCGGAGGTGATAAGGATGAACAATTGGGCCAAATTATCTTTCTTTTTCCTGCTTCACACAGCGGCACCTCAGACTGATAACAGAAACATGGCAGAGGGATAGACGGAGAGAATAAGTCTGAAATAAATACATTGGTGAGGAACAAAGTGGCCTGTGTGTCTGTGAGGAAAATAAACTGTGTTATATTTCCTGTAAAACAGAAGAGAGAAGCTAAATGCGTAAATTGTGTCAATGGACTCATTTTATAACTTGAATTATAATAGAAAGTTACGATTTGTATATAGAGTAAAGTGGTCAAAACTGTGGCAAATCATTTGTAGTCATTTATTCTAATAACTTAATTATGTGTTTAGTAGCCTTACATGATCACGAGCTAAGGATTATCCTAAGGAGACATTTAAACTATTTTTGAGGAATTATTTTGTATATATCTGAGTACTATAATATATTGTGGGACAACACATGTCTCTGATTGGCTCCAGACAGCAAACGGATCATTGCAGCATCCCATAATCCCCTCTGTTTCAGCCCTGTTTCAAAAGGGCTGATTCTCTGAGTGTTTCTCAATGTCGAGGACGCTTCCTTGGTAGGACATGTCTTCCGAGTCACTGGGTGTTTCTCAATGTCGAGGAAGGCTGCTCCAGAGCCACTATTTCAAGGATGCTACATCATCGAGTGTCGCCGAAGGACTGTTCCAATGTCCAGCATACTTGGAATTCTACCGAGCCCGGCGTACTTAGTAGCGAGAAATTTCGAGGCTGCACATGTGTAGACTCCGCGGTCTTAAAATACCCACAATGCTTTGCGCACGGACCAATTTCCCCAAATCTGTGGCGGAAAATGTAAGGCGGGGCCTCTCATATGACTCACACCTGCACACTTGCTCGCCTGTTCCACTCTTCGTTTTCCGAATGCCAGGAAGTGTTCTTGCCTCGCTTCTGAAGCAAGACGCTCAGAAGACATGTGCTACCAAGCAAGCGTACTCGACATTGAGAAACACCCAATGACTGGGACTTTAGATGAAAATAAGGAGCCCCTCCCCACGCCCCTCTGAGAGAGATTTGGTTAAAAAGAACTCAATGGTGCTCTAGGAGGAGATTCAGGTGATAAGGTGGTGGGGGGGGGGTTACCTTGGTTGCTGATTGGCTAATGGTTACACAAGCCAACACATCGTTATGACATCATAAAGTGGCCAAAATCTGATCAGCTCATTTTCAGACAGGTTTTTATAGAAATGGATCAAAAAGAGAGAGAATCTTTGTTCCTGAAACTTTCAGAGTCTCTTTCCACAGAGGGGACACATGTTGATGTAGAAGAGACATGAAGAAGAGGGGACACATGTTGATGTAGAAGAGACATGAAGAAGAGGGGACACATGTTGATGTAGAAGAGACATGAAGAAGAGGGGACACATGTTGATGTAGAAGAGACATGAAGAAGAGGGGACACATGTTGATGTAGAAGAGACATGAAGAAGAGGGGACACATGTTGATATAGTAGAGACATGAAGAAGAGGGGACACATGTTGATGTAGAAGAGACATAGAAGAGGGGACACATGTTGATGAAGAAGAGACATGAAGAAGAGGGGACACATGTTGATGTAGAAGAGACATGAAGAAGAGGGGACACATGTTGATGTAGAAGAGACATGAAGAAGAGGGGACACATGTTGATGTAGAAGAGACATGGAGAAGAGGGGACACATGTTGATGTAGAAGAGAGAAGAAGAGGGGACACATGTTGATGTAGAAGAGACATGAAGAAGAGGGGACACATGTTGATGTAGAAGAGACATGAAGAAGAGGGGACACATGTTGATGTAGAAGAGACATGAAGAAGAGGGGACACATGTTGATGTAGAAGAGACATGAAGAAGAGGGGACACATGTTGATGTAGAAGAGACATGAGAAGAGGGGACACATGTTGATGTAGAAGAGACATGAAGAAGAGGGGACACATGTTGATGTAGAAGAGACATGAAGAAGAGGGGACACATGTTGATGTAGAAGGAGAGCCTGAGAAGAGGGGACACATGTTGATGTAGAAGAGACATGAAAGAGAGAGGGGGACACATGTTGATGTTAGAAGAAGAGAATGAAGAAGAGGGGACACATGTTGATGTAGAAGAGACTGAAGAAGAGGGGACACATGTTTGATGTAGAAGAGACATGAGAAGAGGGACACATGTGATTGAAGAACATGAAGAAGAGGGTACACATGTTGATGTAGAAGAGACATGAAGAAGAGGGGACACATGTTGATGTAGAAGAGACATGAAGAAGAGGGGACCCATGTTGATGAGAAGAGACCTGAAGAAGAGGGGACACATGTTGATGTAGAAGAGACATGAAGAAGAGGGGACACATGTTGATGTAGAAGAGACATGAAGAAGAGGGGACACATGTTGATGTAGAAGAGACATGAAGAAGAGGGGACACATGTTGATGTAGAAGAGACATAGAAGAAGAGGGGACACCATGTTGATTAGAGAGGACTGACGAGAGGGACACATGTTGATGTAGAAGAGACATGAAGAAGAGGGGACACATATTGAAGAAGAGGGGACACATGTTGATGTAGAAGAGACATGAAGAAGAGGGGACACATGTTGATGTAGAAGAGACATGAAGAAGATGGGACACATGTTGATGTAGAAGAGACATGAAGAAGAGGGGACACATGTTGATGTAGAAGAGACATGAAGAAGAGGGGACACATGTTGATGTAGAAGAGACATGAAGAAGAGGGGACACATGTTGATGTAGAAGAGACATGAAGAAGAGGGGACACATGTTGATGTAGAAGAGACATGAAGAAGAGGGGACACATGTTGATGTAGAAGAGACATGAAGAAGAGGGGACACATGTTGATGTAGAAGAGACATGAGAAGAGGGGACACATGTTGATGTAGAAGAGACATGAAGAAGAGGGGACACATGTTGATGTAGAAGAGACGTGAAGAAGAGGGGGACACATGTTGATGTAGAAGAGACATGAAGAAGATGGGACACATGTTGATGTAGAAGAGACATGAAGAAGAGGGACACATGTTGATGTAGAAGAGACATGAAGAAGAGGGGACACATGTTGATGTAGAAGAGACATGAAGAAGAGGGGACAGATGTTGATGTAGAAGAGACGTGGAGAAGAGGGGACACATGTTGATGTAGAAGAGACATGAAGAAGAGGGGACACATGTTGATGTAGAAGAGACATGAAGAAGAGGGGACACATGTTGATGTAGAAGAGACATGAAGAAGAGGGGACACATGTTGATGTAGAAGAGACATGAAGAAGAGGGGACACATGTTGATGTAGAAGAGACATGAACAAGAGGACTTTGTATAATAGGTGAACTTTAAAACATACGAAGGAACATATTATTTGGTCTATTTTAGCCTCTTTTCCGTTCATTATGTAACTAGAACGTATCATGACCCTCAAGAGGATAATAATTAGTAGGAATTGGTATAAATTAATACAAAAACCTTAATTATTTTGTATTATGACGAAAAAATGCTTCAAAAAAGACTTAAAAAAACTCCACGTATGAAAAGATTTTTTTATTCACAATAGAAGTGTAACAAATATAGTTTCTTAAAAAGTCTGCTGCTTATTAATATCATTTGAATCCATAAGATCAGAAGATTTTTATATAAATGTAATTCGGCTCACCAGCCTCAATGGAATATTTACACTTTTTTTTCAATAATAACAACATTAACAACAAAACAGATTTCCCCCACAAAATTAAGATATTGCATAAACGCAAAGTAAACTGTGCAATGGAATGATTATCAGCAATATTTTGTACAGATACATTTCTGAGGTTCACTCATTCAAACCCTTTAAAGGGCAACGCGGACCATGTTTTACATGCAGATGAATTCAGTCGTGTTTGGTGAACACTCGTGATTAAAGTAAAGATTTCAGAGTGATATAAATTAGAAAATATTTTGGGAGAAGTGGTTCATTTACCGCAAAGACTGACTTCATTCTGAATGAAAAAAAGGTGGAGTTGCCCTTTAATCGTCACCGAAACAAAGGCATTGAATCAACACAAGAGAAATCACCATATGGAAATGAGCAGATGCCTGATGTCCCACGGTGTGAAGCTTTCATTCTGAAAAATCAAATACATTCTGCGTTTGACTTGAAATGACTTGTTCAGATTAATCTGCAGAATTTAATCTGCTGACTTTGAGTTTATCCAAATCCATCAAGAGTCTGTCTTTCCATCAAACCTTTAAGACTGAATCACAAGTCCAATACTCGCACAGATACTTTAACACACCATTACGTCCCAAATGAAATCGTTCGTTCAAAGGTCCATCGAGACCTCTTTGAAAAATAACCACCGTCATACTTTTTTGAAGACACACATATAACTCCCACCAGTACCATCTCTATAAGAATATACGTCTGATTTGTAATCAGAATTAATATATAATAATAATCAATTAAATCCAGGCTGCATCAATATCCTTAAGTTGCAATAAAGCCTTACAATGAAACTACTTAAATGAAAGGAAGATTATGAACTACAATCATTTCCTTCCACTCTTCTTTGTGCAACTAATATTCACTAAATCACCACTAAAAGTAGTAGTACATGTTAACTTTTACTATCCTTATTTGACTTTGCATCCAGGCCATAAAACCACGTGGTAATATCTTAAGTGTGAATGAAAGAAGAGATAAATATGAACCAAATTAAATCATCTCAATCAAAAAAATGTCTTGGCTGCTTTACTTCACACACGAAACTGGCCGGATAAGAAGCCAATAATGGGCCAAAATATAATATTTAAAGTGTCCTTCTAATGGACACTGAGCTGCATTACAGTGCTGTTTTCCACAATCTGCAAAGCCTCACTTTCCTTCATCACTAAACACACATCTCTATGAACCAGACCGTTATTCAAATCTCTAAGTTTTCATATCTTCTTTACTATATAATAAACTCTTAATAGATCTTGTTTATGGTATTGCTGAACATTCCTATTCTCCGTGTTATCTATCACGTTGGGATGCGCCTCACGGGGCGGATTGGGATCATTTCCTACATTAACAGCTTTTTAGAAAACACTTCTCTCCGTCTGCACACACTCTTCGTGCTTTCCGAGATCAATGAACAACAAAAGCACGCAGAAGTGAACACAAGAAATAAATGCATATAAAAGATATACTTCACATTGGATGGTACATTCAGACAGTTCCTATCCTCCCGTTGGTTTGATCCCAGGTTTCATTCCCATCACTATAAAAGGCAGCATTTCTTAACACCTCTGATCATCGGTGAGTTCATAGTGTTAAGAAAAGCCGCACCTTCAGGAGCTTTCACGTCTTTGTTTTTGGTAGATACATATGCATTAAGCCCACAGCGCCCCCTGGTGGTCCGCTCCCCAAAGTCCTATGTCCCCCACGACAGAATAAATTAACACAATCAGCAAAAATCAACCATTACAACACAACATCACATGGATAATAAATGCCTCTAAAGCAACTGAGAAACAGAAACACGGAGTTTGTACAGTGAACAAAATGGAGGGATTCCTCACAGCGCACAACTAATAATATTCTACTATGATCCACATGATAGGTTGTTACATTGGGGAATTAATCAGTGTCCATTTCTATGAATACAACCGGGTGGGAAATCAAGTCGGAAACTCAACACATTTTGGATATGCTGGGAAACACATGTGGAAAAAACACTACTTTTGAAACCATCTCGGTATTTTTTTTAACTAATACATTTGGGTGAAAACCAGGAGCCAAGATGGCTGACTTTTCCTTTACAGCCTAAAGTCCTAAAGTAGTCACTCAGTTTAGTTGAGACAGTTGAAACATTTGTAAGTATTTCAGAACAGTCGGTTTAATTTAAAGCTGATTTATGGGTATTTTTTATTTCCATTACCTTCTTTTAATGTAATTTCTCCATCAAATAGACACAATAAATGCTCAAATTGATGAATAAGTGGATACATTAAACTCAGAAAGTGAGTCTGCATCTATCAGAGGTCAAAAGGCCAAAGAATCCTTAAAAAAAAAAAATCCAGGTTTTGTCATTTTCTATTTCAATTAAGTGACTTTATTTGTTTTTATGAGCTGAGAATACTCCGTTTTTTGTAATAATGGGACCGTCTGATAACATATTCAATAATGAGTGGAATACCTTTCCTTAATCCTAACAAATAGACATTGTAATCTCAAGTTTTTGTCGACAGCAGAAGTAAATAAGTGACTGGTACATCTAACATCTAACCCTCTCACACGGACTGTAATAGACAGACCTAACCACTAGATGGCAGTAGAGTAAAGGAAATCACTGGGACTTCTTCAGGTGTAAAGACAGATGTTAGCCTCTGGAGGAAAACCATACATATTATATGAATCAAATGTAATCCTCAGATGGATATCCACAGGTCTGATCTTCCACTTATCATAAAGGAGCCACGGTTTCACCTCTTGGGCTGATTTTTAGCCAGTTAGATTAAATATCCAATTCAAAAGCAGGAATGATCCTGATCTGAGGCAGCCGGACTTTACCTAAAGCTCCGGGACTGTTTTAAAGCGGGTCATACTGCTACTCGTTCTCCTCAGTGAAGGCACTAGATCGAACACTAACTGGACTTGTATCTGGCTGCAGCTCTGAGAGGCAGCAGGAGGAATCCTCACTGAACAACAGACATGGATGATGAAAATGTACAAACACAGTTTTATCAACACATGAGGATGAAGGGAACAAAAAAAATGTCAACGTCACAATGGCAAAGCTGTTGGAATCAGTATGGCTTCTTGTGTGTGTGTGTGAAAGTGTGTGTGGGGGTGAAATAAGTCGAGTGTCTGCGTCCCCTCATAGAGGAGAGAAGATCCTACAGGCTGCTCTACACTGGAGCTGGAGCACGGAGAAGGGAGGAAGAGGAGGAAGAGGAAGGGTTTGACTGATACTCAGGTTTGTTCATGAATGTGATTAATCAGAGTCCTCATCATTAGAGACGTGTTGGTTCTAAAAATGCAGGTTTTTTACGCATTTTAATGTTATTTTTGATTAATTGAATGAAAGCAATATTTGCAGAAGCTGTTTGTGGAAATTCTAAATCAAATGTCCTCAATTCAATGACTTTAATCCAACAATAATATTGGGAGTGAACATTTTTGATTGATTTAGGACATAGTATATAAATAACTTAATGTCCATTTACAAGATGTGTTAAATCGCCTAATGCGTGATCATCCTCCGTGACAGCTGAGCAACCGACATGTGGTCGACAGCTCCACAAAAGTGGACAGAGGTGAGATGTATTTCTATTATTTGGTCGTACAACACTATAAGACTCTTTTGAAACCCTGTATTCATTGGCAATGAGCTTATTTTCAAGATAGCAAGAAATAAAATCCTGCAAACAAGAATGAAAGGAAAGATTACCAGTATCAGTCAAACGCCAGAAATATCAGTGCAAATAAGGAGAAAAGGAAATCGATCCGGGATGCACAAAGCCAGATAAAGACACAGATGAGATGAGCAGAAAAAGGAGAGCTTTGTGTAGACGTCGGGGGGGGAAAGTGAATCAGTGGCAGGCAGAGAGCTGGAGTCACACCAACACTCCGAGAGGAAGCAGTCAGGTGGAGACGGAGCAGGAAGCAGAGGAGCTCTGGTTGTGCTGCGTTTTCCGTCACTCCCACAGAGACAACCACACGGTTTTGTAAAAGCAGGGAAGCCGGTTCCTATTGTGATAATAAAGCCGGAGAAAAGTCCACGTCCTCTAAAGTCCGCCTTTCTAATCCTCAGACCAGAGCTGCAGTCTTTCTGGTGCCCAAAGCTCAGGTCCGAAACATCCACAAGAGGTCTCTCCCCTTCTCACACAAAACAAAAGCTGTAGCTACTCACAACAAAATCACTGACGGCTAACTGTGTCCCTCTGGATGAGACTGCCACTCGATGTAATGACATCTTCAGAGAGTCCTTTTACACTGCAGGAACATTACAACCCGTCTGATGATAGCACTGCATTATGTGGAGTTATTACTCGGCAGTAAATGTCGGTTCAAGAAAAAAAGAAAAACTGGATTCGACAGCAAGAATTCACGATTTGAATTCTGTTTTTGATCCCGTTAGAAATGAAAAGAGGAACCCCAACGGAGAGGCTTCTGTAGCTCCGCGAGGCGAAGTGTTTTCAGCAGGAGGCTCAGGGGACAGGATCAGAGGGTCTTTAGTGAACGATGAGGTCGTCTCTACTCCACCTCGTTGGGGATGTCTGTTTTGTCCTTCTTGATGACGGGCAGAGGGTGAGCCTCGGTGTTGAACACCCAGTGGTCGAAGGCTAGGTGGTCGTCATCGGAGAAGAGCAGGTAGAGATACCTGAGGACGAAGGAGAGAGAGATGATTTAATACAACTTAGAGTAATAGGGCATCAGCAGGATCACAGCTCAGGGTATAATGAGTGTTCAAATCAACTTTAAAGATTAAGAATAGGTAAATATGGGAAGCAAGAGCCCTTTTTGAACCGTGGTCCAACACGCAAAGAGCATTTTTCCACCTTACATACCCTTTAGCACAGGGGTGTCAAACTCAATTTCATCGCGGGCCACATTCGCATAAAGGTTGCACTCAAAGGGCCGGTTGTAACTATATACATATATACATATAAAATAATGCATTTTAATACATGATTGCCTCTGAATTGGATTATTATCGGAGAGGATAATAACTTAGTAATTAACTACGTCTGAAAGCAGAAGTCCACGGCAAATAATTGCAAGTCTCTTCAGTGTGCATGTCACAAAAGGAGATGCATTGTGGGACATGTAGTTTATGGGCAACCTGCTTCTGTAAAGTGGCATGTAACCGTATAATAAACACATTCTTTGCCAGCTCTTGCGGGGCCACATAAAATGAAGTCGCGGGCCGGATTTGGCCCCCGGGCCTTGAGTTTGAGACCCCTGCTTTAGCATGTAGGAAAGACTTACTAGTTTTTGCATCTGCACCAGACGACGCCCAATGATCATAAAAAAGCTTTTTGCGAGGTTAAAAACATCAATAAAAAGGTGCGAAAAAACGAATTACTTAATTACACTCCAGGAACGGGCAATTAGCAGTCGCGTCTTTAAATGATCATTTTACTGGGTTTCCCATTAACAAAGATTGAATTTAATATTACTAAAGCTGAATTGAAATTGAGATCACAGGTTATAATGAGAAGATGAAGAAGTTAAAATCAACTTTTAAAGATAAAAAAAGGTAAATATGGGAAGCAAGAGCTCTTTTCTCACAGTGGGTGGTCCAACACGCCAAGAGCATTTCTCCACCTCACCTCCCCTCTCCCCCTGCAGCATGTAATACGGCTACTATTCCAACCAACATATCAGGAGAACACACTGCTGTTTGCACCAGTCACATGTGGCACTACGACCATGTGCAAGGTAAAGAAACATCTTGTTGCAGTCCTTTTTTTTGTTTTTGTTTTATTTAGTCTTTGTTTTCTGTCCTGTCGAACTTGGATCATAATGTTGTCACCCTACTTGTCTGCTAACTGCTATTGTGCTGTCTGTCTGGCTGTTTGTGTACAAACAACAACAAAACAATAGGCAGAACAACTATAAGACTGGCATTTTGGGAGAAGGACAAATATTAGAAAAACACATGTAAGCTGGATATTTACGTCTCTGAATTGTGTACAAATCATTCATTACAGTACTCCTGTAGCAGTAACGTCTTTAAAGGATTACTGGGTTTCCCATTAAAACAGATTTAATTGAATATTACTAAAGCTGAATATACTATTAGACAACTGAGAAAACTACATCCAAAGATGTTGAAATGCAGGTGAAAACTTTAGAATAATATGATAAGTGGATTTTTTATTTCTGTTCAAACTATAGCTGTATCTGCTCTAAGATATGTCACATCCAGAACAGATAATACATCAGTCTACAATTTAGAATTCACATAACTTGTATATAGACTCGTATTGCATATTTCTCTTTTTGTATTACTTTTAATATAATATACTTTAATATTGTCTGATTATCCGTTATTGTGTTGCATTGTTGGAGAAGCCTGTGACCTAAGATTTTCAACGACATAATGACTCTGCAGCTATGTTAGTTTGACAATAAAGAACCTTGAACCTTGAGTACTGATAAAAACTGTTTAAATGAGGGGAAAATAAAGTTTGGTTTAGAGACTTGTTTGGCATCTGTTTACTGTTCTGTATCTGAGATATCTCTAGATAATAGTTTGTGTTTATCTTTTGTAATATTTATAGGCAGTCCGGCCGGACCACAAATATGCAACGGATGTGGAGCGGAGGAAGACAGACGGCTCCGACCGCTTTATGAAACTTCAAGTGATGAAATTCTGCGGACCGATGCCATCAGATGTTATGAAGCAACTCTGGGATAACAAAAGAGGACTGTGAAAGTACGTGAGAGACGTTTGTGGGCTGCGGTGATCCGGGGCGATTAAATCAAGAGTTCATCACGAAGATTAAGAGAAAGGGAGTTCAATAGGAAGAAAGGGAATTTTTAGAGATGATTCAGATAAAAGGACACTAAGTAAAAAAAGTAAAGTACATTTACTCAAGAACTGTGCTTACTAAGTACATATTTGAAGTACTATTACTCTACCTCATACTTCTACTCCTTTATCATTTGGAATCATATATTGTACTCTAGACAACCTTAGTTACTAAATACGTCATATCAAATCATATTACTAAGCCAAATATAACTTATACATCCGGATGTACTTGAATGCATCATTGAGTTATCTCCATCTTTCCCAGCGGCAAAATGATCAACACATGAATGCATCACTAGAAAATGACTACTAGTATATTTCAACGTTTTTTGTACTTGTACTTAAAGAGGCCCTCGTATAGTCATTTCCAGGTTCACATTTGTATGTTGTGCCTCTACTGTGACATGTTTACATACTTTAAATGCTCAAAAAGTTATTTTCTCATATCTCTACACTGTTGTAATACTACTCCTACTAAGATAACAGCTATATAACAAGTGCAATATTATTATTATTAATAATGTGCTATGATAACGTATCTTTTTGCACTACTAAACACTGTTAATATTTACATTGATGATGTGACCGTCTATGTTTCCCGTAGATATGTAATTGCTCTTCTTACTGCACAGTTTTATTATTACGCTGCTGTGTTTATTGCATTGTTGTAACTCCGGCACAACAATTTCCTTCGGGATAAATAAAGTCTTATCTTATCTTAAAAACAATCGGAGTGCTTCCTCCTCCTCTGCAGCTCACTAAAACTGACGACTCGCTTGTGTTTCTAGCCGTCAACCTGCAAACACATCCTGCTGCTCCACAAAGAGGAGGTGAGTGATTGAAGTGTGAAGTATGGTCGTGTCCTTGGCGGGAAGACGGATCCTGGAAGTGACTCGACAACAACCCGAGTAACATTAGAGGATTGGACGTATGGGCGTGTGCTAAATGGGATTGATGTGTTCAGGTCCGTCTGGGACGTCGTGCATGAGATGTGACTCCATTGTGTTGCTGTCCATGCTGCTGGTCACTCTGATGTTTCTCTACTTATCTGTTCGACGCTAAGGAGACGTTTTTTTTGTGCTGCCTCCCTCTGGAAAAACATATTTTATCACGGCTATAAAATTATTCGTATCACACTTTGACTTTTCTTTATGTGCAGACACAGATCAAGAGAAAAAATACACTCCGATCTGTTTGTCACAGCGAGGTGTGTGTGTGTGTGTGAGTGTGTGTGAGTGAGTGTGTGTGGTGTAATCAGAAGTAGAGGTGACGCTTGTTAAAATTGACTGCCTATAAAAAAAAGTGGATTGGATGGCACCTCGCCCCCATAAGGCTCTGTGAGGCTAACCTTGACTTCCTGTCAACAGCTGTCTGGTGTGTGTGTGTGTGTGTGTGTGTGTGTGTGTGTGTGTGTGTGTGTGTGTGTGTGTGTGTGTGTGTGTGTGTGTGTGGGTGTGTGTGTGTGTGTGTCGAGAGGAGGAAATGAAAGTGGGAGGGAGAGATGGGGGATGCAGGAGAAGCCATAAACATTTCGATTGGAGTACAAAAAAACAGAGAGGGTTATAAATTTAGAGGAAGAGTGGGAGAAGGAAGAGTTCAGGGGCTTTACTGTTGAAATAAAACAGATTAAATACGATATGAAGTATAAGAAGTAACCTTTTAAACTGTGTAGCTTCATTTATATTAACATACTAGTAAACAACACTAACCCTAACCCTGGTTTGTGTTATAAGGGGTCAGATGGGTTTAATAACAGGCGGGTTAAGGTGAGATCAGAAATTAAATAAACCAATAACATAAAGTAAAATAAAATAATAATACAAATTAATTAAAACATAGATAAATAAAAAAGGTAGAATTTCAAATCTCCATATACGAGAGGCTCACATGTTAATTACTATTATTACAACTATTTATTACTACCATATTGTAGCACATTACAGTTTAATCTTTTAACTGTGAAGTGTGCAAACATGTTTTTTGAAAAACACTAAACCCCCCCCCTCCACACACACACACACACACACACACAGAGTGAATGTACACACACTGGTTTCACAGTCCCACACTTGTTAAACGGTGGTTGTGATTTTCCTGCAGGGTTTGAAGCAGACTGTCTCCTGATCACAGTTGGATCTGAGAGAGGAGCCCTATTAGCCAGCAGACATCACACTGTGCAGCTGACAACACACACACACACAAACACACACAACACACACAACACACACACACAAACAACACACCACACACACACACCATCACACACACCACACACACACACACACACACACACACACACACACACACACACACACACACACACACACACACACACACACACACACACACACACACACACACACACACACACCACACACACACACACACACACACACACACACACCACACACACACACACACACACACACACAGTAAAAAAATAAATAAAAATCAGGCTCTTTCAGGGGGACGTGAGGAGTAGAAGCTGCCTGTGGTGTTTGGGGCTATGAGGGGGTATACAGTCTCTCTTTCTCTACTATTTAACACTCATTCAGGCAAAGCCTTGGCTCTGCAGTGTGTGGATGGCACATTTCAAATTTCAATTGTTTGTCATATGCACAAAGCTACAGTGTAGAAATAGGAATGAAATTCTTCTGACCTGAGCTCCTCCAGCAACGCAACATGTATAATAAAATACAAAATAAAAAGTAGTGCAAAAAGTCTATATACATGCCAATAGAATATGGAATATGTACAAGAACAGAATATGAAATAAAATAATGTAAATGAAAACAAAATTAAATACCGTTTATTGCGGTGATAACTATTTATATAAATTAGTATATTGCAAGATGACAACGGGAATGTTTATCGGGGCACTTAGCAGAGCTCAGGTGGCTTGTCCCTCCATAAAGTGCAATCACAGCACAATCATAGGAGGACAGAAGTGAAGTATGGGCTCAGAACAGTCTCATAATACACACATGCACACAGAAGGATTCAAACTTGTATTTCCAGATCCATACAAATGTGTTCTGTTTCATATACATGTCAATAAAATCAGAAAAAAAGAAAAAAGTTTTACATATGTATTTTTGATCCTCACATATTTGTTTTCCATTTAAATCCCCTGAACCTGCAACACAAACCGCTTTCTGTGCACGGATCGCTGTGCATTCGTGTGTGGGTTTTTTGTGACTCCCCTGACGGTCAGCCGATTCGTACTTGTACTTTTTTCTATCTATAGCCAATCAGATGTCTCCTCAATTCTAAGCCAATCACATGATCGCGCCCCCACGAGGGTAGATTTCTTGCGTTCATGACGTAGCGCTTCATGTACGCATTTTGCGCTGTCCGGAGCTGACAGGTCCATGGAGCTAATATCAGGACACCTCCACTCTCAGTACAGCGCCACTTTCCGAACCATTGATGAATGCTTGTGTACACAAAAACGGCAGGCAAAACCGTTTTAAATGTGTGTTTCCTGTGTGGCGAATACAGCTGCTTTATTTATGTCTGTATGAAGTTGTTGTGAGTGTGGAGGGAGCAGCTACAGGTTAGCTTAGCCTAATCGATCAGTGCACTACGAAGCCAGTGCTAGACAGTGAACTGTCAACGGCGGGAGCCCCGCCGGTCATTATCGGCCGATATTCACTATTAATAGTTTGATCGGTGCTCTCTATAAAGGCCGATCAGGAGAGCTGGATCTGATCGATATGGACATAAACGTCTTACAGGCTTGGCCTGTCACTTTAAGAGTAGCAGCCGCAAGGGGTTGTGGGTTTTTGGAGTGTGTGTGAGTGTGTGTGTAAAATGTGATGGCCAAGGCGAAGTGCGAAGTTATGAAGAGAGAGACGAAAGTATAGAGAAAGTGGTCAGAAAAGGAAAAGTAACTAGTCTGTATGTAGGCCTATGCAATACAGTGTCAATGTAACTGATTAGTCTGAAGAACGTGAATAAACGGAGGTTCTTCCAACGGCACCCGAACGCCCCGTTTGCATCCTTTTTCCCCTCGAAATGTCTGGGCAGCTGGTTACCGGCTGACAACGAGCCAAGTCAGAAACCACCGGTGTGTAACCGAAACTACGGTTTCGGTACAGAGATACCGTTAGTAAAACGGTAACAAACGCGAGTGAAGTATAACCGGACGCGAAAGAGAGATCAGATCAGCTGCTGAGTCTGACGGAGACTCGCTGCTCTGCATGATCACCTGATGCTCCGCCCCCTGTTTAGCGAGCTGACCGGCCAGCGCAAAATGCGTATATGAAGTGTCATGAACGCAATAAATCATACCCTCGTGGGGGCGCACTCATGTGATTGGCTTAGAATTGAGGAGACATCTGATTGGCTATAGATAGAAAAAATTACAAGTACGAATCGGCTGACCGTCAGGGGAGTCTCAAAAAACCCACACACGAATGCACAGCGATCCGATCCAATTTAAACGGAAAACAAATATGTGAGGATCAAAAATACATATGTAAAACTTTTTTCTGTATTTGGATTTTATTCACATGTATATGAAACGGAACACATTTGTGTGTGCATTGAAAAACACAAGTGTGAATCCTTCTGTGTGCATGTGTGTATTATGAGACTGTTCTGAGCCCATAGTGAAGGAGTGTGTGTGTGTGTGTGTGTCTTACTTGAGTGTCTCTGCTAGGTAGAAGCTCTGCTGCACGTCGTCGTGGTTTGGAGTCGAGGCGTAGACGTCTCTGACGCCGCTGTAGCCTCCCTCCACCCGGCAGTGCTGCTCCAGAGCCTGGTGGGAAATACAGACATCAGTGACCAGAAACATCCTTCATTAGAAGTGTTGGGAAAATACTGAATGTCCTCTTCCAATATGAGAGTAACTTGATAACAAAGGTATCCCAACTGGAGCTGTGTACATGACAGGATGTGTGATTACCTAGAAGAGCATCAGGTCTGTTTGAGGCATATGTACTACTGTATGTGATTAACATGATGATTCAGCCTCTATGGAGAGAGACATATGACAAGCATGCTCATTTCTGACGTGGAGCTAATCTGAAGTAAACATTGAATACTGCTTTCTATTCCTCCATCTTGTGACTGTGTAACTCCCTCTCTTGGATATCAGCATGTGAAGGACACTGTTCAGGAACTAGTTGATGCTCTGTATGTGATGACTACTTCCATTCTGGAGAGGATCAGAAACACATGGATCCTGAGGTTGAAGCTGAAGCCGGGGACCAGTGATTATTAGCTGGCAATGTCCTTGATCTCATATTCTCAAGGAACTGCGCTACTTCTAACCTCTCTGTAAACCCGCTCCACACATCCGATCACTTCTTCATTTCATTCTCTCTACCCCTTTCCAAACATAACAAACTAATCTCTTCTCATCCTGCACTTGTCCGCCGTAACCTTCGCTCCCTCTCCCCCTCTACCTTTGCCTCGTCGGTGCTCTCAGCCCTCCCTTCCTCTGACTCGTTCCAACTCCTGCCACCAAACTCTGCTGCAGAAACTCTCCTCTCTATTCTCTCATTCTCTCTGGACTCTCTCTGTCCTCTCACATCTCGGCAGACTCGTCAGTCCCCTCCTGCTCCCTGGCTAAATGATGCACTGCGTGCTAATAGAACCGTCCTTAGGGCAGCAGAGCGGAAATGGTGGAAATCCAAACACCGTGACGACCTCCTAACCTATCAGGCTCTCCTCTCCTCTTTCTCTGCTTCGATCTCTCAGGCAAAAAGCACTTTCTTTCAAGATAAGATCCAATCTTCCTATTCCAATCCTAAAAAACTATTTTCCATCTTCTCCACCCTCTTGGATCCTCCAAAAGCCCCTCCCCCCTCCCCCCTCCTGTCAAGCGACTTTGTTACCCACTCTGAAAAAAAGGTTGATGATATTCGCTCTTCTTTTTCTGACTCACCTTTACTCACCGCTGGGTCACCAGACCCTCCTTCCACCAACACACTAACCTCCTTTTCCCCTCTCTCTCCAAGTGAGGTTCTTACCCTCATTACCTCTGCCCGCCCTACCACCTGTCCTCTGGACCCTATCCCTTCAAACCTCCTTCAGACTATCGCTCCTGATATTCTACCGTTTCTCACCCATTTCATCAACACTTCTCTAACTTCTGGTCACTTTCCAAACAGTCTCAAGGAGGCAAGAGTAAACCCTCTCCTAAAGAAACCCACTCTCAACCCGTCTGATGTTATAAACTACAGGCCTGTCTCTCTCCTCCCGTTCCTGTCTAAATCATTTGAACGCGCTGTCTTTAAACAACTCTCCTGTTATCTCAATCAGAACAACCTTCTGGATCCGCACCAGTCTGGTTTCAAGGCAGGTCACTCCACAGAAACTGCTCTCATTGCTGTCACGGAGGAACTGCACACTGCCAAAACTGCATCCCTCTCCTCTGTCATCATCCTGTTGGACCTGTCTGCTGCATTCAACACGGTGAATCATCAGATCCTCCTTCGCACTCTCCAAAAACTTGGAGTTTCAGGCTCTGCTCTTTCCCTCCTCACCTCATACCTGAAAGACCGTACCTACAGGGTGACTTGGAGAGGGTCTGAGTCCGACCCTTGTCAATTAACTACAGGGGTCCCTCAGGGCTCTGTTCTTGGTCCCCTCCTCTTCTCCCTGTACACAAACTCGCTCGGATCAGTCATTAGCCCGCATGGTTTTTCATACCACTGCTACGCTGACGACACCCAATTAATTCTGTCCTTTCCCCGCTCAGAGACCCAGGTCGTTGCACGCATCTCTGCTTGTCTAGCTGACATCTCTCAGTGGATGTCTGCTCACCACCTCAAGCTCAACCTTGACAAGACTGAGCTGCTCTACCTCCCGGGAAAAGATTGTCCCACTCTTGACCTAACAATCAACATCGGCACCTCTGTTGTTTCCCCGACTCAGACTGCAAGGAATCTGGGTGTGACCCTAGATAACAACCTGTCCTTCACTGCAAACATCGCTGCTACAACCCGCTGCTGCAGATACACGCTTTACAACATCAGGAAGATACGTCCCCAGCTGACTCAGAAAGCGACTCAGGTTCTGGTCCAGGCTCTCGTCATCTCACGCCTAGACTACTGCAACTCCCTCCTGGCTGGTCTACCTGCATGTGCCATCCGACCTCTGCAGCTCATCCAGAATGCAGCGGCTCGTCTGGTCTTCAACCTTCCTAAATGTTCCCACACCACTCCGCTCCTCCGCTCCCTTCACTGGCTTCCGGTAACTGCAAGAATCCACTTCAAGACACTGGTACTTGCTTACCATGCTGCGAATGGATCTGGCCCTTCGTACATCCAGGACATGGTTAAACCGTACACCCCAGCGCGTGCACTACGCTCTGAATCAGCCAAACGACTCGCTGCGCCCTCGCTGCGAGGGGGACCCAAGTTCCCATCGGCAAAAACACGTGGGTTTGCTGTCCTGGCTCCAAGATGGTGGAATGAGCTCCCCATTGACATCAGGACGGCAGATAGCTTGCACATCTTCCGGCGCAAACTGAAAACTCATCTCTTTCGACTCCACTTCGAGCGTTAGAACTATTAACGAAGCACTTTTATACTAATAAAGGACTGGCTTATCTAAAGCCAGTTGAGTAGCACTTGAAATGTTTGGCTCTATGAAACCTGATGTACTTATATGATTCTGTTTTCTTCAAGGTTGTGTCTTCCTGGTCGAATGTACTTATTGTAAGTCGCTTTGGACAAAAGCGTCAGCTAAATGCAATGTAATGTAATGTAATTATTAACATTTTGAGATTTTGAGAAAAAGTCATACATTTGAGATTTTCTGAAAAAAGACAACATTTTGAGAAAAAAATCAGTAGTGTACATGACAGGATACAGTACTGTGTCTCTTGGGCAATTTGGGGTGAAGTGTCTTGCCCAGGGACACAACGACATGCTAACTGCAGTGGGGTTTGAACCTGTGACCCCCTAATCCCAACACCAAGCCTCTATCCACTGCGCCACACGCCTCCCTTCAGGAACTAGTTGATGCTCTGTATGTGATGACTACTTCCATTCTTGAGAGGATCATAAAAACATGGATCCTGATTATTGAAGCTCAAGCCGGTGACGAGTGATATTTTTCTAACAATTCTCTTCCTGATTTGCATTTTTAAGAGCTTGTGAAAAAAACTGATCTGAAATGTCTTCTACTTCTATTAAATGAACATGCAAACGGCTAAATATAAGATAATGTATTCACAAACGTACCTGGACCGCCTCCCAGCCCCACTCCCTGTATTTGGGGTCGTGTGTGAACCTCCACATGTACATGTAGGTCTCGATGACCTCGGGGCGGAGGATGAAGTATTTCTCGTTCTGCCGGGTGGCGATGGCCTCGACCCCGCCGTCGAAACGAAACGCCTCCGGACCCAGCTTCAGAGCTAGAGGGGGGGGGTGATTTACATAAGAGGAGGTTTTAGGTTCATACAGCCTTGAAGAAGATTGAATTGTGACTGATATTCTTTCTTTTGACTTTATATTACTTAGATGTATCCACATGTCGACTCGAGTCTTGTCAATGTTGACTTTAAAATAATATGCTATTCAATTGTTGCTGGGCCCTTCAGGACTGCCTTTAAACATTGTGTCTCATAATCGGATTTAAAATACAGCAATTTATTACATTTTGTCAAATAAAAGACTCTTTGAAAAAACACTTAATAACTTTTTGAAATGAGATACATGCCTAAACACATATTTGGTACCCAGTAATTTAATTTGATACAGCAATTGTGGCTCTTGACATTTATATTACTCTTTTAAACTAGACAAAATCGCCCTTTTTTCTAGTTTGACAGAAATGATCAAAAAAAGCCATAAAACAAGACAAAATGTACACCAACTAACATACGCAAACTTCCATCTGTGGCTACAGATGGAAGTTTCCATCTGTGGCTACAGATGGAAGTTTACAGCTATTGAAGATATTGAAGTGACTGTTATTTTGATTGTGTATATATATAGGTATATACATATTTTTATATATATGTGTATGTTTGTATTCGGGATTGTGGGAAACGGTATTTCGATCTCTCTGTCTGTACAGTACACACAAACTGAAAGATTGACAATACAATTGACTTTGATAATCATGTCATTTAGTACGAGTCATTAATATGAAGTATTTATTTACCCAGCAGTATATGAAGTAGTTTAAATTAAACCAACCTAAAAATAGTGACGCTTACAGATTATCACATCACTAATTATCATAATGTTTACTTTTGGTACTTCAAGTGTCTTTTCTTTTGACTCTGATCTTGAAACCAGAGTGGCCAATAAAATGAAAGACATAAATATTGTTGTTGTTTATCGTCATATTGAGAGCATATTTACAGGTTCTGGCGTAGGACTCGTGGCAGGTGCGTGCGAATCTCGGCGGCCTGCTCCATCTGGTGGCCCGTCTTGTCGGTGGGCGCTCCGTCGGCTCCCAGAGCGATCATCCCGCCGGCGAAACACGTCAGGTGACCCATCTTGTGCTCCAGCAGCCCTCCCTTCCACTCCGCGATGTAGGTCAGCCCGCCGCTCGACTTCCTCATCAGGTTAATTTCTATCGCCTGGAAGACAGACAGCGAGGAAGAGCTTGACTTCGTTTTTCAATTTCAAAACTTAAAGGTCCCCTATTATACTGTTTTTCATCAATATATCACAGGTCTCAGATATATACAGAGCCTGTCTCTGATTGGCTGAAACACCAAACAGATCATTACAGCATTACCCATAATCCCCTCTGTTTCAGCCCTGTTTCCAAAGTGCTGATTCTCTGTCTGTTACTTTAGATGAACATAAGGAGCCCCTCCCCACGCCCCTCTGAGAGAGATTTGGTTACAAAGAACACAATGGTGCTAGAAGAGACATGAAGAAGAGGGGACACATGTTGATGTAGAAGAGACATGAAGAAGAGGAGACACATGTTGATGTAGAAGAGACATGAAGAAGAGGGGACACATGTTGATGTAGAAGAGACATGAAGAAGAGGGGACACATGTTGATGTAGAAGACACATGAAGAAGAGGGGACACATGTTGATGTAGAAGAGACATGAAGAAGAGGGGACACATGTTGATGTAGAAGACACATGAAGAAGAGGGGACACATGTTGATGTAGAAGAGACATGAAGAAGAGGGGACACATGTTGATGTAGAAGACACATGAAGAAGAGGGGACACATGTTGATGTAGAAGAGACATGAAGAAGAGGGGACACCATGTTGATGTAGAAGAGACATGAAGAAGAGGGGACACATGTTGATGTAGAAGAGACATGAAGAAGAGGGGACACATGTTGATGTAGAAGAGACATGAAGAAGAGGGGACACATGTTGATGTAGAAGAGACATGAAGAAGAGGGGACACATGTTGATGAAGAAGAGACATGGAGAAGAGGGGACACATGTTGATGTAGAAGAGACATAAAGAAGAGGGGACACATGTTGATGTAGAAGAGACATGGAGAAGAGGGGACACATGTTGATGTAGAAGAGACATAAAGAAGAGGGGACACATGTTGATGTAGAAGAGACATAAAGAAGAGGGGACACATGTTGATGTAGAAGAGACATGAAGGACAGTTTTCCTTAGAAATGTTTCCACTTTTACTTCTAACTGAGTATTTCAAGATATTACTTCTACTTGTACTTATGTAAAGAACATGACTGCTTCTACTTCTTCCACCCCTTTTAGATGTTAAGGTAAGAGAAGTGTTTAAGGTGTACTGCCCCTTTAACACGGCTCAGATTGATCATCTAATGTTCCTGCTGTGTTTCAGATATTCCCCCTGTTGCTGTTCTTGTTGGCAAATAAATCAATAGCGCGTATAATCCTTGGATATCGAGGGGAGATAATGGGTAAAGTTTCCCCTGCATGGTTAATTCTGCGTTTCAGTCTCCATGTAATAAACATTTTCCCCAGAGAAACAATCGGTGAGTCAGCTCTCTCCAGCTGAGCCCCGACGCTTGTCACCATAACTTAATCAGACAATTTATTTAAGCAGAGTAAAAGCTATTCACTTTCATCTGCTCCCCGTCTTTGTTTTCTTGTATGGAAATGTGTCTCATCATAACTCACTACGTGGCTCCTGAGCAGAGATGAAACACTGAATGTTTGAGAATGTTAGCACAGCAGTGGTCCGAGTGACAGATAGCGATCATTTTAGCTCAAAATTAGTCTAACTGAGCCCCATGTAGTCGAACACCATGTTAGTGCTGCAGGAAATATCTACGGTGCTAACATGGTCATCATTTGAATGTTTGCTTTTATTAAACAATGAGCTTCAAGGTTATTTAGGCGACTAGATGCCGTTAATACCCTCCTGCTGAGGGACATAAACACAGAGCACTTTTCTATCTGTGAAGCTCTCATGTTTGTTGTCCATTATTATCATGCAGCCATTCATTATGACTCAGAGGGGGCATGAGGGACACAAAACCCCGTGGAGGAAATCCATGCAGCTCACCATCTGTAAACACGTTCAAACTTCGATGTTATCCATTCAATGAGAACAGCTTAAAGGTCCCCTATTATACTGTTTTTCATCAATATATTATTTTATTATTATTATTATTAAACCAGGTGGTCCCATTGAGATCATCGACCTCTTTTTCAAGGGAGACCTCAGATACACTGAACACAAATATAAATGCAACACTTTTGTTTTTGCTCTCATTTTTCATGAGATGAACTCAAAGATCTAAAACATTTTCTATAAACACAAAATAACCATTTCTCTCAAATATTGTTCACAAATCTGAAAAGATCTGTGATAGTGAACACTTCTCCTTTGCCGAGATAATCCATCCCACCTCACAGGTGTGGCATATCAAGAAGCTGATTAGACAGCATGATTATTGCACAGGTGTGCCTTAGGCTGGCCATAATAAAAGGCCACTCTGAAACGTGCAGTTTTGCTTTATTGGGGGGGTCTGGGGGGATCCGAAAACCAGTCAGTATCTGGGGTGAGGGTTAGGGTTAGGGTAATGTTGTGAATCGAGTGGCCTGTGTTCGTCGTCCATAACATACGCCTGCCCATACCATAACCCCACCACCACCATGGGCCACTCGATTCACAACATTACTTGTGAATCAACACGTGTATTTCGTTTTTTTCACGGCTTTCATTTTGTTATTCTACAGTATTGTTGTTTTATAGTTATTAACCCAATTTGTGTTCTTTGAAATTGAAAAGGATATTGCATTGTGTTTGTTACTTTCGTTGCAGTTGTGTCTTAAGTGTAATTTGGCCTGGCTTCCTATTTTGTATGGACATGCTTTTAGTTTGAAGGAGAGGTAGCGCTGTTGACAGGAAGTTGTTGTTGCTATGGAAACAACGTGAAGGAGATTAACGGAGAAAAAGCAATATCTACATATAAAGACGGAGAAAGTAAACGATAACGTTTATGGTTAAGTGTTAGCACCCCACGAAGAGGCACAAGCTCTTACGTTGATATTGGAGATTTCAATAAATTCAAGGTGGCAGCCGCAAAAAAACGAATATCCGAATAACGAAATTGAAACCCGAATATTCGGATATTCAGGTACAGCCCTAGAACACAATGGTGCTCTAGGAGGAGATTCAGGTGGTAAGGTGGGGGTGGGGGGGTTACCTTGGTTGCTGATTGGCTAATGGTTACACAAGACAAAACATCGTTATGACATCATAAAGTGGCCAAAATCTGATCAGCTCATTTTCAGACCGGTTTTGCATAATGGGTGACCTTTAAAAAACCGAGGTTGACGGCTGCACACTATACACTCATGGTTTTCTATTGGTGAATGATGCATGAAGTGTTTACGTTATAGCTAGAGGTGTCAAAGATTCAGTCGCAAAAAACATATCTATAGCGGTAATTCATCATAGAGATAAAACAAATACACGTGTGGTGTTATATAGATATAGAGATGTATCACGAACTGGCGAGAGAAATCAGAGGGTTTTCTTACTCTATTATAACATATCAGCTTAGTTTTGATGGTTTCTGACCTGAATTATTGGCATGAAGCCTGACAATTTTCCACTAGACACTAGGCTAAAGCATCGACAAAGCTGCTGTGATCAATCTCTGTATAATGTGTGCTACAAATTAGCAGGTATGGAAGTATTCTTGGTGAGTTATCATATTGTGAGCACTATCTGTTCCTACAGTGGTCTCCGCTATCTCCCACTCATGTGCAACTTCAGGAAATTGGTGCATGCTTGAGCAAAGTACCTTTCCTCTGTTTTCAACAAAAGAACGAGTGAAGTTGTTCGTTTATATCGAGCTATATCTGCAGTCAGTGCTAGACATATAGCCTGCTTTATTTGCTTTTTCACAGCCATGCAATTCATGGGTACAATCCCACTGAAGTTATGGAAAGAAGTCTGGTTCGAACTTGGTGATGTGATTAATTAGCGTTACCGTTTCTATATGAATCATGAGGATAAATGTGTGAATGTTCAGCCTTAGTTCTAACATATGGATACATTGATGTTGTTATTGAGATACTACAATGTAGCATGACTCTGAGTGATAGAAGTGCAACAGATTGGAAATCACAGCCCTCAGAGATCAGTGCGAAACATGATGTGACGATCGGGAGAGAAAAGGTGCTTAACAGCCTTCACAGATGGTGCGTTTAAGGACCGGCAGATAACTGACAAACGGTGATTTCTGTTTTAGTCGGACAATTACCGCCAACGGATAAAAAACCACATGAACAGAAGATGTTATTGGTTTGTGTAACATGGCAAAACAGACGACGGTTTACAACTGAGTGAGTTGAAAAAGACAAAAAACCTGTCACATATTTTACAAGATGTGATAAAATAATCAGAAAATTGAGTAATGAATAATAAAATGAGATGGAGAACATCCTGTCGCTGATTCTGTTCCAGTAACACATTACATATTGTCCTAATATGTTCAGCCTTCACATGCTAGAAACACAATAAGAACTAGAATTAAATAACAGGTTGGGCTCTCTTTGTCGAAAAGTAATGGTGATGAAAAGTCTAGGGATACAAGTAGTGATTATGTTTGGACTATGAAATGTTAAAGGTAGGGTAGGTAAGTTTGAGAAACCGGCTCGAGATCGCTAGAATTTGAAAGTACGCGGCCGGAGAAAATCTGCCACTTCCTTCAGACTTCCTTCCAGAGCCCCTCCTCCAACACACTCGAACGCCACATGACCAATGAGGGCACGAGATAAGTTTGTGCACAGATGGAAGGCTGACAGGCAGGTAGGCCATCCAGTTACTTTAGCCGGGCCGGCTCAGATGATTGGTCGTGCTTTTTACAGCGCCACGGCTTCCAGATGACATTTTATTATGTATTATTGTCAAAGCACTTAATATATTCATTGCTATCGGGATGTTAAGAGAATTCCATGGAATATAACAAAAAGTATATCTCGAGCCGGTTTCTCAAACTTACCTACCCCACCTTTAAATGAAAAATATTCTATCTCTAAAGTGACGTCAAATGTCCTATTTTTTCAGAAAAACAGCTCAAACCAAAATATATTCAGTATTCTATGAAATAAAACAGAGAAAGGTGGCAAGTCCTCACATTATAGGCTGGAAGAAGATAATATTTGGCATTTTGGATAGACAAAATGACTCGAATGATGAATCGATTATCAAAGTATATGATTTATTATTGTATAGATGGGTTCATCTTCGCAGGGGAACGAAGAATAATTCCACCTGCAGTTTAATCCCCGAAGAGTCAAAGTCACCTCAACCCTGATTGAAGAGATTACATCTGTGTACGTGATGGCAGCAGCGTACGTGTGTGTGTGAGTGTGTGTGTGTGTGTTACCTGCAGGGCATCATAATACATCTTCTTTGCTTCGTCGTCAGTCTTGTCAGACATCAGCCAGGCCTTGAGCAGGTACTCATAGAAACTGTCACCAAGGCCACCCACAGACACGTGATCTGCAACACACACATAAACAGACATTAAAACACACACACTTAAATACACACAGGCCTCCTACATGCGAGCTGTTTAAGAACACAAGTGTTGGCTCATCCCTAGATCATCATTACGCCCCTTGTAGCACTTTGGGATTACTTTTAGCAATGAATAAAAATACAATTTATTATTAAATGTATTATCATCATCTGGTTTCATTATTAATATCTTTATTAATAATTGCCCCCTAACATAACTGTACTGTATATTATACATATGTATGCTCACATTGTTACATTTGTATTTATTTATTGTATTACTTTGAATCTCATGTTGTTATTTTAGCTTGATATATGTTATTTTATCTAATTGTATTGTACATTTTTTATTTAATGGTATTTTATGTTATATTTTATTTTATTCTCAAATGGAGCAACTGTCATGAAACTAAATTCTTCCCCTCTGAATGAACACAATTCAGATTCTGATGGCAAGGGTTAGGTACATGTGTGCGATATTAACAACCTGTGATTTATTGCAGCATTATGTGTGTGTGTGTGTGTGTGTGTTGACATCTCTATTTAACAGTTAGAGCCAATAGAATCGAGGAGAAGTTCCTAAAATCCATCTAAACATTACCCATTGCTGAATGAGTGATGCACAGCCAGAATGCCCCGTAACCGGATGCTGCGATACACTCTGGCGGCTATCATTAGCAGCGTGTGTGTGTGTGTGTGTGTGTGTGTGTGTGTGTGTGTGTAAGTGTGTGTGTGTGTTATTGTATGTGGACCTGCTGTACTTTAGCTGATTGTGAGTGAAGGCTCATCCATATGCATGTGTCATTAACAGAGTCCAGCCCTGTGTGTGCAGCGCAGAGATTAAATGTCAGCTGTGATCATCTTAAAGAGAAGAGAAAGGAGACGAAGGTGTGTGGGTTTATGAAAAGCACCTGGCCTTCTGTGAGTTCAATAACAACGAGATGAAAGAGCCTATTGATTATACAAGTCATGAAAAGCTATTAGAAATTCATTAAAAACACATATTTCTAATTCATACTTTGAGGGTGGAAACTATGACTCAGCAAGTGGTAACATAACAGCCAGAAATACATCATCAAAGCTTCACTCTTCTGTGTTTGTACAGCACATACAAAACCCTTTTGGATATTTTTCAGACAACATTAGATCCCATGGTCATAATTTATTCAACCAATGCATTACTATTGCATAATCTCTTTCTAAATGAGAAACTCTCTCTGACTAAGACAAGCATGAAAGCTTCTCTGTCTTTAGTTGATTAGTTTGAGTGGGTATTTTTTCTGTTAAAACTTGCCTTTTCTATTCCTAATTGAATATGTCACAATTTACATAATCTACTTGAATGAAAACACAGTTACTGGCTCTGGTTAAGAGTGTCAGCTAAATGCCAACAATTATAACTGCGGATGTGGTTTTACTCAATGTTTTATGCAACAGAGAACACAAGTAAGTAGACTAGAGGTGCAGCTCCACATTTAACCAGCACTGACACTAGCTGCTGATCAAGAGGGTTCTGAAGCAGATATAATTAAGTATCACACAAAAAAAACTTTAATGTTCAAAAAGCTCTTTATTTTTCTCATACTGCCTGTGCTGCACACCTCTTTTCACCCTCTGTCTGAAACCAGAGCCCTGTCTGCTCTGATTGGTTATCTGGCCGGCTCTGTTGTGATTGGTCAACCGCTTATGGCGCGTTTCCACTGCAGCGGGTAGCCCCGTTTAAGCGTCCTTAACCGTCCTCAAGCGGCCAGGCCGGTTTTTGGTGGCGTTTCCATATAGCCTAGTACCGGCCAGCGGGTACTTTTTCCCTCTTTTTCAGGCCTCATAAAATCGTGGTTCTATCAGACCAGGGCCAGGGCTGAACTAGTGACGTCGACACTCTCGACTGCTGATTGGTCAGAGAGAATCGTCACAAGATCGTGCGCGAGTTCATCCCTAGCGTCGCATATATATTTAGAAGCAAGCTTGCAGCATTTTTATAAACAGCATTTTGTAAACGGATGAGCTACAAAAATGGCTACGTCTAATAAGAAAAGCACACCGTGGTCGACCGAGGAGGTGACGACATTCCTACATCTCATTGGGGATGATCAAATCCAGCGGGAGCTCGACGGAACAACTCGAAATGTGAACAAAAACAAAGCCGATCGCCCCGCCTACACTGCGTTGCTACCCCAGGTCCTGAACTGTAATGGAAATGCGCCACGGCCTGGGCCGGCCAGCGAGGCAGCCCGTGGCCAGAGCGAGGACGCTTAGGGACGCTTAAACGGGGCTACCCCGCTGCAGTGGAAACGCGCCATTAGAGATGTCCCGCCCCTTAGTTTATCACATTGGGGGTGTTTCTCAATGTCAAGGAAGGCTGCTCCAGAGCCACTATTTCAAGCATACTACGTCATCGAGTGCCGCCGAAGGACTGTTCCAATGTCCAGCATACTTGGAATTCTACCGAGCCCGGCGCACTTTTCGAGGCTGCACATGTGTAGACTCCGCGGTCTTAAAATCCCCACAATGCTTTGCGCACGGACGAATGTAAGGCGGGGCCTCTCATATGACGCACACCTGCACACTTGCTCGCCTGTTCCATTCTTCACTTTCCGAATGCCAGGAAGTATTCTTGCCTCGCCTCTGAAGCAAGACGCTCGGAAAGACATGTGCTACCAAGCAAGCGAACTCGACATTGAGAAACACCCACAATGTGTTGGAGTGCTAGCCAATAGGAGCGTGAGTTTTACATAGAGATGTCACTATGTTATTTTAGCTTTTGCAGACCATTTACATGCACACAAACCTAACTGTACAGCTGCAACGTTTTCAATGCTATCATCCAACTCTCAGCAGGAAAGTACGTCCCAAAAAAAGGGCAAACTATTCCTTTAATTACCCGGCTCCTTTTATATAGAAGCCATGTCATTTTGAGGTTGTTCTGAAGTTCAATTTCTGCTCTCTAGACTCTAGTGGTCAAAAATCTCTTAAAGCTGCCTTAAAAACTGGGTTGAGAAATGGAAGTTGATATCGAGCACATCTCCTGCCTCTTGTCAGAGTCACTTTCATTAAATCTACTCTCCTGGCAGTTTTCTCTGACATATGACAAGGCATAAGAAAAAGCTGCTTTCTTTCCTAACATATACCTTACATCCCTGCTACATTATATATATATAGTTATCCTTCTGTGGCTCCATATGTTGCTCTCCTCACCCTAATATTCCCCCTCTATCATTATGTCCATTACCTGTTCAGCTTCACGCTCTGAAGAGTCTGGTAATCGATGTGAAATGACAGCATTTTACCACAACATGCCGATAAAGCAGACAGGTGAACGGACACATGCTGTTTAGGAGATCGGGGAGTTTAAAAATACTTGACAGAGATTCAGCTGGATTATAGTGATGTAAAGAGAGTGGAAAGAAAGGTATGAGGAGGTGTGAAGAGAGGAAGGAAGGGAAGAACACTTTAGCAACACTGCACAAAGATCTGGAAATATGTCAAATAAATCAATATTGTTATTTGTATTTGTATATCTTATAAAGTCATTATATTGGACTTTTTTATATTATTCTTTAACTTTTTTAATTAGTTTATTTGTATTCCTGAAATATTTTGGACTGTTTATTTCTTGTGTCTTAATTTCTCTCATTGCCTTGTGTTTTTTTATGCTGCTGCAATGCAAACATTTCCCAAATTGGGATCAATCAAATATCTATCTATCCATCCATCTATCCATCATCCATCTACCTACCATCCATCCATCTACCTACCATCCACCTACCTACCATCCATCCATCTACCTACCATCCACCTACCTACCTACCATCCATCCATCTATCTACCTACCATCCACCTACCTACCTACCTACCATCCATCCATCCATCCATCCATCTACCTACCATCCACCTACCTACCATCCATCCATCTACCTACCATCCACCTACCTACCATCCATCCATCCATCCATCCATCTACCTACCATCCACCTACCTACCTACCATCCTATCCACCATCCACCTACCTACCATCCATCCATCCATCCATCCATCCATCCATCCATCCATCTACCTACCATCCATCCATCCATCCATCTATCTACCTACCATCCACCTACCTACCTACCTACCATCCATCCATCCATCTACCTACCATCCACCTACCTACCATCCATCCATCCATCCATCTACCTACCATCCATCCATCCATCTACCTACCATCCACCTACCTACCTACCTACCTACCTACCTACCTACCTACCTACCTACCTACCTACCTACCTACCTACCTACCTACCATCCATCCACCATCCACCTACCTACCATCCATCCATCCATCCATCCACCCATCCATGTTCAAAGCACAACATGATGTGATGAGAGGAGATGAATCAAAAGCCTATTTATTATAATATTAGATGGAGAAAACACACATATTGATATTTAAAGGAGTCATATTATGCTCATGTACAGGTTCATATTTGTATTTGAGTCAATAGCGAGTGATACTTAGTGATGTCACAACCATAATAAATCATAGAAAGTTTTTCCCAAAGCTTTAAAAATGGTGACAGGAGATTATTAAGAAGAAACATAATTACAGTAGGGGCAAGTTCATCACTCTTGAAACCATCAAATCTGAGCAGTAAAGTGGTTATTATACCAGAAGGATATTTGCATTCCTGGTTGATGTACGTGCAAATTACAGGTGTGGAACATTTTTCTTTGGAAAGAGCATCAGAAGTGCATTGCAGTAATCCAGACAAGTGGTAATTTGCATGCATTAGCGTTTCAGCGTCACCTTTAGAAAGAAAAGGTTGAACTTCACTGACACTCAAGAGAAAAATGATAATTTCATGACTGTTTCTGATATCGTTCTCAAAGTTCAGGGTGCTATTAACCCAAAGAGCTCAACATGTGATTTCCATTTTAATTACACGGTGGTCAAGAGTGTAATTACCGTCTCTCTCTCTATTCTTCTGAGGGAAATCATGAGCAAGTCTTGCATTTTATTACAGTAGAGTAGAACGCTTTTGGCTGCTCTCTCTTTAAAACCCTGAGAAAACCAACCAACCCTCTGTACTGCCGGTTAATTAGACTTGTCCACTGTGTTGCAATAAGCTCTCAGGAGTATCCCAAAACACACTGAAAACCTAAATCCACTTTAATTTGAGTGTTTACCCAGCAACTGGAATATCTAGTTCCTACCAGAAAACTAGGGTGCAGCTCTAAGTCAAGTGTTCAACATGCATGTGTGCAATGAGCTTGTAAGATTGCTAGCTTAGCTCAATATAAACTGTATTATAAGAAATATTCAGTCAAGCTGCTTTAAAGTCACGCATTTAAACTAAAAGTGAGGTAGAAAAAAAGCTTAATTCTTTTGATGGTCTTATTCGACTGAGATTAAGAATATTTTTGGTCATACTTGAAAGATTACTGTAATGGATGAGTCATGTTTTAATGCTGAATGACCTTTTTCAAAGAAACTATTGGCACATATCTTGAATTTTCAGTTTTCTTTGGAGAAACTCAGATCTATCGATGAAATCTACTAAACGAAATGTCAACAAAATGATTGGAGGGTTAGTCGACTACAGGTCCTTACACGCCAAGCCGATTTCGGCCGTCGATAGATGTCGGGCCGCCGATGCGCGTCCTGTCGCCCTACTCAGATTGGTGTGTCCCGCCCCGTCGTGTCTTTTCGGCCATGCCGACACCTTCCATTACATTAAAGAAAACACTCTGATTGGCTGTTCAGCTTAGCGAATCAGTGCATGAGAAGCGAAATGGAAGTGAGGGACCCAAACAAACTATTAAGAAGGCAAATCTGAGATTTCATTTAGCTCTCGACACAGGTTCGGGAAAGCCCCGTGAGCTTCTCGCTGTAGAGTGAAAATGGAACGCACACGCTATTTGTTGTTTGTTTATATCACGCAGTCTGTTCTTCTTCTCTGTCTTCCGGTTGTTGCCTCTTTTGAATGAGGAATACACACTACCGCCGCCTGCTGGTAAGGAGAGCTATTGCCACTCACGCATGCGCAGTTCGTACGCGCTACTTGGCCGTCGGCTGAAGTCTTTGCGGTGTGTTCCAGTGCGACTGTTGGCCAAGACGCAGGAGACGTGAGGCGACACAACAATCGGGTCCGTCGGGACGTGTTCTTTGCTGTCAGTGTGGTGTGTAGGCCCCTTAAGACTTTCTTTAGTTGAGGACAGGCCTATTATGGCGCATTTCCACTACAGGGCCTCGCTCGGTATGGCTAGGCCTCGTTAGGACTGGCTCACTTTATGCTGCGTTTACATTACAGTTTAGTAGCTGGGGTAGTAACTATAGTAACGCAGTGTAGGCGGAGCCGTGACGTCATCTTCAATGAGCACCCCAGAAAAACAACATTAGCCGTTAGCTCTTAGCACTCAGAGCTCACAGCTCCTCATATCTGTTCAGAAACTAGACAACAGTTAAACAAGTACAAACCACAGACTGCCTGTGTCATGGCGAATACAGTCGCTGGTTTATTTATGTCTCCATAGGCCGTTGTTGTGAGTGTGGACGGTCGGAACATATACTGCGTTAGCTTAGCCAATCTCCATTCAGAAAACACGCATTTTAAAAGGTTTTTCGCCTGCCGTCTGTCTGCAGACTTGTCAAAGCATTAATTCATGGTTTTTACTAACCGGTATCAGTATGTTGTTACTTCGGCATCATTTTGAAACGTGTATTACAATTAAATCATGGTCAAAATGTTCATCTTGTTGTAGTTGTAGCCCCCTTGCCAGCGATTCTCTCTCTAGTTTAGCAAACTCAACCCGACTCAGCCCTGTTTGTTGGCCCCGATAGAACCAAGATTTGGTCGGGCCAGAAAAAAGGTGAAAAAGTAGCCCCGGGCCGGAACTAGGCATAGTGGAAACGCAACCAAAAACGGGCCGGGCACGGCACGCTTAAAGCGAGCTCCGCGCTGTAGTGGAAATGCGCCATTAGTTCTTATTAGGCTGCAAAGTTATTCGTATCTTAATCAAAATCGCAATTTGGGCTAATGCAATTTCAACAGCAGTATGCACGGGTGGCGCAGTGGTCTGTGCATCCGATCATCAGATCAAGGGGGAGTGCTGGGGAACTACAGTTCGAAACCCGCTCCTGCCGCCACTGCGTCAGGCCGTTGTGTCCTTGGGCAAGACACTTCCCCCGGATTTGCTCCTGTGGGTATTGTCCACAGTATCTGACCATTGCATGTATGATATATGTGTAATGTGTGTATATGTAAAGCGCTTTGAGTCATTGAAAAAGCGCTATAATAAATGTAAGGAATTATTATTTATTGCAGGCTAAATAAGTGTTAATATTCTTAAATAAGTATTGTGGTGCTGAATGGAATGTCGTGGCCTACAGATCGTATTCTATGGACTTAATAAAATACCTTTGTTTGGTACAGACCTTCTTAAAATAATCACAGCATGATCAATTTACAAATATATTTCAGTAATAATGAGAAAAAGGTCAAATTGCAATAGCAATATCACTCAAAATGATCATAAATCTGTTATTTTTGCTGAATTGTGCTGCCCTATTGTATCCTAATGATAAAATCTGTATCTCCATTACATCTTTGTGTCAGCGTTTTGACAAAAATAAGACACAGAAGCTGTTTGGCACAGCATCTGAGACTCCTGAGATAAAGGGCAATGTTCCCTCTCAGGCGTTGTCTTGATGCTCAAGTGCTACACGAGAGGGAAATGCAGGAGAAAGGCGAGACAGAGGAAATGGTTTGTGATGTAAAATGTGCGGATGAAGAGAGGAGGACTTACGTTGGCCCCACTGGCCGCTGTTGGGGTTCAGGTAGTTGGGGTACAGACCCTGAGGTTTGTCCAGGCGATTCAGGACCTTCCTGATGTTCATTACCTAACGATTAAAGAATCAAACACAAATGCAATGAGTTAAGTTCACTTCAAACACCACAAGTGAGCATACAGTATGTACAGAGAATATATAAAACACTCTGATAATACAGAAACTAACAAATAAGATTCAAGATTCAAGGCTTTATTGTCATGTTGCATTATTGCACATTAGCTACAGTGTAGATATGGCAATGACAATCTTAAGTCCCAGGCTCCTCCAACAGCGCAACAGGAATATATACAGGACATAAAACAAATCAAATAGTGCAAGAGAATTAGCTTTATTAACTATATATATAAATATATATACATGTATATATATTTTATATATATGTTTTTTTTGCTATTTTATTTCTGAAATATTTTGGACTGTTTATTTCTAGTGTCTTAATTTCTCTTATGTACATTGCCTTGTTTTTTATGCTGCTGCAACGCAAACATTTCCCAAATTGGGATCAATAAAGTTCTGTCTGTCTGTCTGTCTGTCTGTCTGTCTGTCTGTATGTCTGTCTCTATGTCTGTCTCTCTGTCTGTCTCTGTCTCTATGTCTGTCTCTATGTCTGTCTCTCTGTCTGTCTCTGTCTCTATGTCTGTCTATATTTGTCTCTCTGTCTGTCTCTGTCTATCTGTCTGTCTATATTTGTCTGTCTGTCTCTGTCTATCTATCTGTCTGTCTCTATCTGTCTCTATATCTGTCTGTCTGTCTGTCTGTCTGTCTGTCTGTCTGTCTGTCTGTCTGTCTGTCTGTCTGTCTGTCTGTCTGTCTGTCTGTCTGTCTGTCTGTCTGTCTGTCTGTCTGTCTGTCTGTCTGTCTGTCTGTCTGTCTGTCTGTCTGTCTGTCTGTCTGTCTGTCTGTCTGTCTGTCTGTCTGTCTGTCTGTCTCTATCTGTCTGTCTGTCTGTCTGTCTCTATCTGCCTGTCTGTCTATCTGTCTGTCTGTCTCTATCTGCCTGTCTGTCTGTCTGTCTATCCATCTATCCATCTATCTAAAAGTTAAAGGATGATTCTTTGACATTACAGTCACGTCTAAAGTGCAAGAGAGCAAGTGGAAACATTGTACAAAAGCAGCCATTGACTATGAAAAAAGATAATACCATCTATTCCCGTGTGTGTCCGTTACCTTCTGTGCAAACTCAGGATTCCCAGAGAGTTTGCTGAGGTGCATGAACTCTAAATGCAGCGTGCCGTACTCTGCCAGGATGCTGCTGCCGCCAGACGCCCAGGGCCAGTTCCTCCCAACACCGCTGGAAGAAGATAAGAAGAGACTTTAGGAATGCATACAAGTTAGAAAAAGATCAGTCGTCACCGGCTTGAGCTTCAATCTCAGGAATGGAAGGAGTCATCACATACAGAGCATCAACTAGTTCCTGAACAGTGTCCTCCACATGCTGATATCCAAGAGAGGGAGTTACACAGTCACAAGATGGAGGAATAGAAAGCAGTATTCAATGTTTACTTCAGATTAGCTCCACGTCAGAAATGAGCATGCTTGTCATATGTCTCTCTCCATAGAGGCTGAATCATCATGTTAATCACATAGCTATCATCTGCCTCAAACAGTCCTGATGCTCTTCTAGGTAATCACACATCCTGTCATGTTCACAGCTGCAGTTGGGATACCTTTGTTATCATGTTACTCTCATATTGGAAGAGGACATTCTGTGTTTTTCCAACAATAAAGCAAAAAACAGAATACTGCCAGAAAACATACAAAACAAATGTTTTAATGTTTTAATTTCAGAGGATGAGCATCGTAGGAGGAAATTACATTTGAAACTAGGGCTGCTCGATTATGGCAAAAATCATAATCTCGATTATTTGGGTCAATAATTGTAATTGCGATTATTAAATGCGATTATTCATTGACTTTGAAAACATCCATTTATTGGAGAAAAAAATGTTGAACAGTATGTTTTTAACAGTTGATTACCCTGAACTTTAAGTATAATTACACTGAAAAACCAACAACAAAGTAATAATAATAATAAATTGTTTTATTTTGATTACGTTGTTTTCGTAATCGTTGCAAGCCGTAATTGCGATTAAAATACGATTAATTGAGCAGCCCTATTTGAAGCATCAGTTTACACGTACTGCTTTACAGCAGATGTGTGTCTCTGTAGTTGGCGTAAAGAAGTGGAATACAAAGTATAAAGAAAGCGTAATTAGACAGTATGAAGTTGACTTTTGATGGTGTATTTGTAAGCAACTGTGAGTGAAAGAATATTTCCTTTATTTTACTTTTTTATGGTTATTTCATTTTAAAAATAAGATTTTCTTCTCCCTGCTCCTTTCCACCATGTGCTATAAAAACCAGTATAAGTGTACATGTTTTGTAAAGTGTACATGTTTTGTAAAGTGTACATGTTTTGTAAAGTGTACATGTTTTGTAAAGTGTACATGTTTTGTAAAGTGTACATGTTTTGTTTTAAAATAACTGCCATGTGTGGAATAAACAAATAAACAATAAACAAAAGAAAAAGAGAAAAGTGTTTCTGTTAAAACATGGTAACAAAGAGACAGTTCCAAAGATAGGTAAGAGCTGCACGATGTTTGAAACTTCAAGTTCATTATTTGACATCTTCAATTCAGCCACAAACAGTCAAAGTGTCCTGGTTTTAACTTGAGTGTTTCCTCACTTTATTATGAGTCATGGCAGAAGAAATAACTCATGAGAACAAAGCAAAGCCAGCTTGTCTCAATATTAAAGTGACAGCTGAAAAGAGGCGATAAGGTCAGCTTAACACTCAGTGAGTCATACTTTAAAATATGACGACTATTAAAAAGTTTTGGTCATTTACACGTTATTTTTTAAAAGCCATCTTTTGCTTCAGTGACATTTACAAAACAGATTCTTAAAAAGGACATCGACTGCGTTACATTAATGGCGCTAAAAGCTCCATCCGTCATATTTATGGGAGCATTCGTTTCGGTTTTTTCACACACACTTTGGCACGATTATTATTCTGTGTGGTGTCTCTAGGTCAGTCAATCTTCAGGACCCCACCCTCTCCCGTGACATTGCATGAAGTGACAATGACGTTACGTAACTCTCAGGCCATATGTGAACGTTTCTAACCTCCAGTACGCTTGAAAAGGACAGAAGACCTAGCAACAAGGTGTGTGTGTGTGTGTGTGTGTGTGAGAGATCATTAGAGCCACTGACAGATGACTTCCAGGCTCACGACTGATGACTCTGGTGGCGATGCATCAAGTGACTACTCATGAATACATATTAACAATCTCCACACACACACACACACACACACACACACACACACACACACACACACACACACACACACACACACACACACACACACACACACACACACACACACACACACACACACACACACACACACACACACACACACACACACACACACACACACACACACACACACACACACACACACACACACACACACACACACACACACACACACACACACACACACACACACACACACACACACACACACACACACACACACACACACGGACGAGGAAAAGGAGTGTGATTTGGGAGAAGAGCCATAAACACACACACACTCACATTTTGTATTTGCTGTAAAGTGTCTCTACTGTAGGCTATTTTTATTTTATGTACAGCACTTTGGCTCGACCAAAAATCGTTTATAAATGTGCTATATAAATAAAACTTGATTTGATTTTCAAAGAGGTGGATGAACACACCAATTATCCCCCTTCAACTCATCCTGCTGCACAAGCCATCATTAGTTTCCCATTACACCGCAGATTTAATCAAGTCCACCAGAGAGGACCACCGAGAGAGAGAGAGAGAGAGAGAGAGAGAGAGAGAGAGAGAGAGAGAGAGAGAGAGAGAGAGAGAGAGAGAGAGAGAGAGAGAGACCAGGGTCAGAGGTTTGTAGCTGAGTGTGTGTTTGTGTGTGTGTAAAACATTAAAAAAAAAATTGTAAATATTTGTAAAAACCTAAGGCTAAGATAGATACAATGTAATTACATAACATATGTATACAGGCAAAAAAAGTAAGAGATGTGGTTTGGTTTGAAATACAATGCATGAACTGTGATTGAAATATTACGTGAATGCTAGTAAACCAAATAACAAAGATGGAGTCAGGGAGCTGCTGATTTTTGGGTGAAATGAAGTTATTTCAAAAGCTACCGAGGGGCATTCAGGCCTGTTCTCTAATGGAAACTCTTTGTCGCTCCAGTCACTTCCTGTGCGAGGGTTTGAAAACTGGCATTCATCCATTGACATACGGCACAATACCACTGTGTCCATGTGATGGGAATCCTCTGTTGTGTTTGACTACTGATGCAGAGGAGAGCTGCATGTGGCCCAGTTTACAGATTACTGTTAGCAACTAGCACGCTCTACATCAGGGGGGTCCAAACTACTATTTTAAAATCAGCCCTCACTCAAATTCAAAAAGTATAATGACTTAAAGGTCAGCTATTGTGCAAATCCACTTCTTCATGTCTCTTCTACATCACCATGTGTCCCCTCTTCTTCATGTCTCCTCTACATCAACATGTGTCCCCTCTTCTTCATGTCTCTTCTACATCAACATGTGTCCCCTCTTCTTCATGTCTCCTCTACATCAACATGTGTCCCCTCTTCTCCATGTCTCTTCTACATCAACATGTGTCCTCTCTTCTCCATGTCTCTTCTACATCACCATGTGTCCCCTCTTCTTCATGTCTCTTCTACATCAACACGTGTCCCCTCTTCTTCATGTCTCTTCTACATCAACATGTGTCCCCTCTTCTTCATGTCTCTTCTACATCAACATGTGTCCCCTCTTCTTCATGTCTCTTCTACATCAACACGTGTCCCCTCTTCTTCATGTCTCTTCTACATCAACACGTGTCCCCTCTTCTTCATGTCTCTTCTACATCATCACGTGTCCCCTCTTCTTCATGTCTCTTCTACATAAACATGTGTCCCCTCTTCTTCATGTCTCTTCTACATCAACATGTGTCCCCTCTTCTTCATGTCTCTTCTACATCAACATGTGTCCCCTCTTCTTCATGTCTCTTCTACATCAACATGTGTCCCCTCTTCTTCACGTCTCTTCTACATCAACATGTGTCCCCTCTTCTTCACGTCTCTTCTACATCAACATGTGTCCCCTCTTCTTCACGTCTCTTCTACATCAACATGTGTCCCCTCTTCTTCACGTCTCTTCTACATCAACATGTGTCCCCTCTTCTTTCACGTCTCTTCTACATCAACATGTGTCCCCTCTTCTTCACGTCTCTTCTACATCAACATGTGTCCCCTCTTCTTCACGTCTCTTCTACATCAACATGTGTCCCCTCTTCTTCACGTCTCTTCTACATCAACATGTGTCCCCTCTTCTTCACGTCTCTTCTACATCAACATGTGTCCCCTCTTCTTCACGTCTCTTCTACATCAACATGTGTCCCCTCTTCTTCATGTCTCTTCTACATCAACATGTGTCCCCTCTTCTTCATGTCTCTTCTACATCAACATGTGTCCCCTCTTCTTCATGTCTCTTCTACATCAACATGTGTCCCCTCTTCTCCATGTCTCTTCTACATCAACATGTGTCCCCTCTTCTTCATGTCTCTTCTACATCAACATGTGTCCCCTCTTCTTCATGTCTCTTCTACATCAACATGTGTCCCCTCTTCTTCATGTCTCTTCTACATCAACATGTGTCCCCTCTTCTTCATGTCTCTTCTTCATCAACATGTGTCCCCTCTTCTTCATGTCTCTTCTACATCCACATGTGTCCCCTCTTCTTCATGTCTCTTCTACATCAACATGTGTCCCCTCTTCTTCATGTCTCTTCTACATCCACATGTGTCCCCTCTTCTTCATGTCTCTTCTACATCAACATGTGTCCCCTCTTCTTCATGTCTCTTCTACATCAACATGTGTCCCCTCTTCTTCATGGCTCTTCTACATCAGGAACAAAGATTCTCTCTCTTTTTGATCCATTTCTATAAAAACCTGTCTGAAAATGAGCTGATCAGATTTTGGCCACTTTATGATGTCATAACGATGTTTTGGCTTGTGTGACCATTAGCCAATCACCAACCAAGGTATGGTTGAACAGTCCAACAGTTTGGACACCCCTGCTCTACATGCATGTTCCTCCAAACTCTGAGCTATTGAAACCCTGTTAAGTTTATGACTTCTTCTCATAAGTGGTCCAAATGTGGGAATATATCATGACAGCAGCGTTAACTAGCTTTCATCAAGTCTAAAGACGTTTTGTAACAA